ATCAACTTTTTGCTAGACTAAAAATACTTGAATTTATTTCATCTAAACGTTTGATCTTTTAGTCATTTTTTGTTCTTTTAACAACTTAATCATCAGTTTATTCAAATTTTTTTATCAATCTAAAGATAAATTTCAAACGTGGCTACATAATTGAACTCACATCATTTAGATACTATACATCTCTTGTATGTTCATCAAAACTTTAGTTTATGAGATTTTTCTGTATGTTTTTATTTCAATTATTGAATTTTAATTATTAATAAAATCCATCAATATTTTTTTGATGTAAAAAAATTTTCACCATTAAAATTTGTCATTAATAACTTTTCTAATCTAACTGTAAAAATAAAAATTCAAAAGATCTTTGAATCAATTTGTAATATTGATTATCATTACTTAAATATCAAAGGATATGTATAATGATGAAAAAGTTGTTTGGATTGATTTTAGATCAAATAAAAAATACATGGCAGTCGCAAGGATTAGAAGATATCATTTTAATTTATTTTTTCTTTTGAAATTTGTTCCGATGAGATTCTTTAAATTTTTTTAAAATTTTAAAAGTTTTCTTCAAAAAATAATAATTACAAATGTTAAGTAAAAAAATTGATAGCATAAGTTTGATGATAGTTTCAATTTTTTTTAAGTGAATAAAAACACATTGCATTATATAATTTAGAATAGTACATATATTAAAACTTTAAGATAGATACTAGATGTTATTATAAATTATGATCTTTTTGATAGGTTATATTTAATAGATTTGATTCAAATTTTAGACTCAAAATAAATGTTTTAAAAACTTTCATGCATGGTGATATTTGTTTGATGTTATTCTTGTTTTGGATATGGCACATTGATCACCATTTTATATTTTCATATAAAATTTAAAATCTGATAATTTTTGAAGACTTAATGTAAAAAAATTGCTTTGAAAGTACGATAGATATATTAAAAATAAATAAATAAAATTTTGGAATGAAATTATTATTGGCTAAATTTTTTCAAAGGCCAAGTAAAAAGTTAACCACCAGATCATGATCACTGTTGAATTAAGTTTGAACTACAATCGGTAGATTCAAAAGAATAATAAATAACATTTCATACTAAAATACTCTATTACAACTAGAAGATTAGTTATATTTAGGAAGGGCTAGTTATATTTAATTTTGAGCAAATTATCCTTCATCCTATTGTACTATACACAACACAGGTCTATGATTGATCATAGTTATACCTATGTTTACTAGAGCTGTGTGATATTGTCTTCGCAGCATAGGAAAAGGAGAGAAGTAGTTCACATTAGCCCAGGATGAGGGATAATTAACCCAAACTAAGGTATAACTAGCAACCCCCTATATTCATTACTAACATACATGTGAGAATTCACACTATACAATGTGATAATGGCATGTCTAATTAAATTTTTTCTACGAAGCGGCTAGTTATCCCTCACTTTGGGCTAATCATCCCTCACCCTACTTTACGGTCTGCTGGGATTGGTCAAAGTTTATAGGTGCCAATGGAATAGATTTATAATTCTTCTGGTTGTTCTTCGTGTTAATCTCTCTGCGTCAAACTTGGTAGGCGTGAATCACATCAAAGTCACTTTGTAATTACTACTTTGAATGTCATACTCTTTTTTGCAAATGCATTTGTCCCGTCTTTGCGAGCCTATCACCTACGAGTGTGTTTTGAGGTCTTGACATCGAGTCGAATTTGAAGATGAATGCTTGTTTGTGAAATTCGTGGAGGCAGCGTGTTCCTCACGAGCGCTTTCGTTCCACAATTTGCATTGGCGAGCTCCGTGCTGTGCTTGCTCACAAAAGAAGGATTATGTCAAATGCGTCACATCTCGAGCCTCAGATGCCAATGAGCTCGTAGTTGAACTCTGTCCAACCTTGAGTTTCACGAAAAGAGCATGCGCTGGAAAAATGCATCACTCCCTCCTCTGTTGGGCAAACAAAGGGCAATTCGTCTCGTTAAAGTTAAAGGCCGGAGCAAAAGCCCGAGCAGCCAAAACTTTTTCTCCTCGGATTGTCGGGTCAAAGGATGCGCTATTGCATTGTTGTCTTCTTCAAAAAACGGGAGAGCTCAGAATGTCGCACCGTTATACTTCCTTTCACCTATCATCTACTCGCGACTCATCGGAAATTGTTGAATCCAACGTCCTCTCTCACAAGTAGACACCGCGATGATGTTCTCCGCACGCGAGAAATCAGGTGATCGGCGGTGCAACAGGGAGATCATGGTGCAAATGATGAGCCAGCGCGGTGCAAAATGGAGGACTCGTCACAGGCGTGACTTTGACGTGGCTCACGCCTGCCACGTTTGACGCAGAGTGTAACACAAAAAACAACTAGAAGAACCATCAATCCACTCCATTGGCAGTTATAACCTTTGACCAATCATTGCAGGCCTTATAGTAGGATGATGATCGATTAGCCTAAAAAGAGAATAACTAGCCGCTCCCTTTTATTAGAAGGAGAGGCTAGTTATCACTCAATTTGGGCTAAATATCCCTCATCTTATGCTAATGTGCACTACTTCTCCCCTTTACTATGACCGTGAAGATTATATAACACAGCTCTAGTAAACATAGGTATAGCTTTGATCAATCACAAAGTTCTGTTCTCTAGGGTGAGTGATAGTTAACCAAACTGAGTGATAACTAGCCCTTCTTCTTTTTTAATTATCTTAAAAATAAAGCATGTTGTAGTTTGAACACTTCTATTTTAAATATTTTTTTTATCAGTGTTGAAAATTTATCCAAGATAATCATGAGAATTAGATCACATTATCAAATTTTTAAAAAAATATTTTGATTAAAATATTTCATTAGTAACACAACAATAAAAACCGATCAAATGAAACTTCCAATTATTTCACTTGAACATCATAGTCATCATCTCCGATTCTTTAAAACCCTAGATTTTATTCAATCAAGAGATCAAAGTCAATAACGATAGAAACTTGTGAAGACACTTGAGACGCTTCTCGGAACCTTCAGAAAAGTTTGAATGTTCATGACATAATTCAAAAATAGCTTTCTATCTCAACTTACTTAATGATTTAAAAAACAGTAAGGTCTTCTACTAATTCCATTTTCTCACGTACACGTTTTGAAAGTCACAACAATAAATTGTACTCCAAATCTAAATCTGTACTTTACCTTGTAGCCTATGAGTGCTCCAAACCTTTAAGCCAGTTGTATGTAACCTGAACTATATGTGCGATTAATTTTAACTACAGTACTCTTGCATATACACATATTTAACGAGGTTATATATCTCGGGAAAGAGACTTACTGTATCTTTCCCGAGAGTTGTTGGATACTCAAATTCACATGATTCAATTTTTTCCTGGCCTGCACATTACTAACCCCTATACAATTAATCTACTTTACATGATAGTTCAGTTGCTAATTAGAGTAACTCATTTGAAGGTTTGCCTCCAAATTTAAATTGAGGGTGCTGTTTTATGACATTGATGCGCTTTTTTACCACCGTCATCAGATTATTCGATTCTATCTATACCTTTCTCTCCTTACCACTCACATTGTTGTTTTGTATTTATGTACCACTTCTTTGGAATGTATATCCCTAACGAAATTCACTTAATGCAAAATTTAGAGTCTCTAACATCTGTATTGAAAATCATTACAAAACCTTCCGTTCACCTTTATTCTTTGATTTTATTTTCTTGAGATGATTAGAAGATATAGAATACTTACCCATCCCCATTTATATCAAAGAAACTCTTTATTCTATGAAGGAAACGCTTTAAATGCTGCAGCCATATACCAATGAAGCCAATTTTGGTCAACTTGGCATCTCTATAGTACTCGGCCGACTCCTAAAAGTGAAGGTTTTGTTCAGTGGGCCTCTTCAAGCTTTTGCGTGGCCAAGACGCACTCTTCAGGTCGTGACGCTGCCTCATTACGTGGGACGTCATTTCTTCCCTTGGTGCTATTTGTCGCCCCGATTTTTATTCCGTTCGTCTCATTTCACGCGCTTTGTTACAATACGACGGGAAGGCATTTTTTTAAAAATATCAGTCCAGTCTCGAGTCCTATGTGGTGCCCTCCTGGCTACAACAACGCAGAACAAATCGTGCTATACACTGTTTGCTCCGCTTGAGTTTGACACATGTTCGTCCGGCCGGCAGGTTGTGCTAGGTTGTCGTGGGTAGCATCAAAAGCTGATGACAAAAGTCCTCGATTCGAAAGGCGCATTTTCGTAAGCTTCGAAGTTGTCCACAAGTTTGCAGGTTATTTAAAATCCCGTAGTATGGGGCTTGTTTCTTAGAGTATTCGTGTCCATTGGTTCAGATTCGCCTCGAAAAACTTATGCAATATTTAGGTGATTATCTCGACAAAAACGAAGTGCGCAGGAAGAAGCTCTGGTCGCGATATCCAAGCCCGTAATTCTTGAAGATTCGGTAGCTCGCAAGATCGCTTGCAATTGACGGCTCCGTAGTCGGGCCGCTCGCTCATTCCCTTGTTTCAGATCTTTCCGGAACCTTCCGAGGAGCACTGAGGATCGCCGGGACCTTGTGAATTAAGCGAGAAGCTTTTTGTCGGGGCACTGACAGGCGGCAAGGTTTGGTGTGCATGTGAGTGCGGTGACGCCTCTGTCAGACCGTACCCGGAGGTACGTACGTTCCTCCTCGCGGCCTTCACAAGGTGGAACATGGGTCGAAATAACTTCACGCGTAATCAATTTTAGTCAGACACTCTGCAACCGGACCGAATGAAAGCTCCGGTCAGTCAGCACGTGTAGAGGAGACACGTGCAATTCCATGACGGATCTCTCTATTCACGTCAGGTGTGGGAGATGGATGGCAACTTTGTTCGTGATCAAGAACCAGCCGCACTGCTCTATAAGAACCTGCGTGAAGTTCCCTCTGCCATACGGTGCCTGGATGTTCTCGTAACAAGTGGACTGGTTTCGGCCGGCTGGCAGGGTTAGGGCCCCACCGGTCATTGAACGGCGATGGGCGGGGAGGAGTGCACATTCAAATGAAGCGATTTTCAGCTGCAAATCAATGTCCGACTTTCTTCGTCTTCTTCCTCTCCTCATCGCCGCAAGCGACGAAAGAGAAGGAGGTGGAGAGAAATTGTTGATGAGTTGGCAGAAGAGGCGAACGATCTGTGACGAGTGCCAGATAGTTGACGACTTTAATCCTGATTTACGACGTGCTCTGGACAGATTTATGAATGCGAATTTCTCGCGTTGAGATCGGGAGTGGGGACGATGCTTTCCAAATTTTTTGCGGTGGATTGACCTCTGCCTCGTGTGGCTTTCGTGCTTCTTGACCGTGAAGTGAGTCGGGCTCCTCCCTAACTTCTCGTTGATGCAATCTCGCATCTGTTCGTTCTTGTTGGACGTATCCAGCCTCTCTTCGAATAGTGTACCTTCTGCAACTTTCCTGGGATTGCTTGTCATCCCTTTTTCTTCTCAGCGTTCTGAGAAAGCTCAACATAGATTCTCTGGCATCTGGTTCAGTCCGTGAATGTGAAACAGTAGATGTTCTTCCCAAGATTTGTTGGAAATTACGGGACCCCATTCCGTTTGTGCCTCTCGTGGCGTCAAATGTAGAAGAGATAAACTATTTTGTACTTTCCCTTGCGTCAACTAGTGGCGTTAAGGCTTGCACTCTGGGAATTCCACTCTTCTGTCAAATCGATCGGCTTGTGCTGAGCCTCATGGGATTGTCACATATGTTTTCATAGAGCCGAGGTACAGTCGATCGTTGACTCAAATTGAGCCGCTTCTGATTTTTTTCCCCCGATCTCTTGTAGCTTGAAGAAATGAGCAATAAAACCAGGGCGTTTTACCTCCAAGCTCTTTATCCATCATGCTCTGAAATTTTTTCCTCCCCCTTTCGAGTGTAGTCGGATGCTAATGGTTGAAATTTTAGTTTGCTGTCAACATCTGTTGGTTTCCCTACACTCAGTAGTATTTTCGTATCGGAGTTCATCATGGCTACTAGAAGTAGCAACTTTATATTATCTGCGTCCGCGCTTGTAGCTCAGAGCCCGCCGTCCCTGTCAAATTCCCAGACAATAGATTGCAAATTCCACTATCCACAATCTTCTCCAACGAAGGACAAGAAAGACCTGCCTCTTCTACAAGTTCCCGGCCAATCTGGTCGATTCTGCAGCCTTGGACAGCCCAGGAGGAGGGATGTTTGTGCTGGAGCGATGCTGTACAATTCTAATGTCGAAGCGGGAAGTGATGGAGCGGAGGATGATGGAGATCAGACATGTCATCCCTTGGACCGTGGCCTTCTAAACCAGCAACAAGTTAGTCACGACGGGAAACTGCCTTGGCAGCAGAACACTGAACAGTGCGTTGCAGGAAGCATAGATCAAATCAACTCCAGTCATGCCGCAGGTCCTGCAGGTGTTTTCGAAGGGAGCCGACTGAATGGTAACGGCTGGATACCACTCCGTGATCATTATCTCAAGGGGAATAAGCAGTACTATCCACATGCAGGCGTATCTTCAGCGTCAGTAAGGGTCAGAGATGGCAACCAAGAATCATGCAATGCTCACAGCTCGGAGGGAACATTGCAGAATCATCATCCCACACTAACGAAATTTGAACCGGAAGATCGTAACCCTCACGAGGTTCTTCAAGAGGCAAAAGGGAAAGAAATTGCTGGCTGTATACTGGCCATCAAGCGGCTAAGACTCGCATGTAATAGGACTATTTCTAAGACACTGAGGTCTTTCAAGGGTACCATTATAGGTAACAGGAAGGCCGCTGACGGCATTCTCACATCTGACGAAACTGACTCTGAGCCAAGAATTGCTGAAGGAAGTGACGAAGCCACTGAAAGTGACAAGCCTTCCGGCAGTTCTCGTGACGAGGAGCTTGATGAGATCCCGTGGGACGTGCTGAAGCGACTATGGGAGAATCCTGCTTTCGTAAAATTTCGAGTTTCAATTTCGATGGCCAATCTTACGATGGCGTTGCCTACTTTTTTGTCTCGGGCTCTGCCTCTTCTCTCAAGTGTGAGTAGTTGCTCCTCGATTGCCTTTTTCCTGAGTCGAAATTACTGGTGTTTAGATGATCCGCGCAGCACAAGCTTTGTGATTCAGTGGGTATCATTTATGGTGTCTTTTGTAACGTAAGCTGTAGATATTTTCATGTCTAAAAGGCTGTATCCTGGTGCAGAGGAGAATGCTTATTATCTTCATGGGCTCTTTCACTTGATATTATCCAGTTTTCTGGGATTCCCTTAATAGGATTGATCCTCTTCCTGTAAAAATCCCGCTTAATATGGTTGTGTATTGTAACTTTATGCTTAATTCTGCTTCTGCAGAATTAAGTCTAAATTTAATTTTGCAGAAGCAGACATTTTGGAATAGCCACTGCATGAAGTTTATGCTCTTATTTTTACCTTAACTGGCTTCGGTGTTGGTTTGGCAGTCTCCGCTGAAGGGGTTCTCCTTTCCAGTTCTGGCTCCATTGCTCTTTGGTGGAGGAATTGTTTTTAAAAGTGCAGTTTCTAATCTTGGATTCGTGCTACCTCGTATGTTGTATGTACCGAAGCCCCTCCTCCGCCTGCCGACAATCTCTTTTCAATGAATCTTTTATGTACATGATTCACTCTATGACCTTTGATTATCTGACCCAGTGCGATACAGTGTATACAGTATGACTTTATTGCTTTCTTTTATCTACAGTAATGAGAAACAATTCACCGTCGTGGTACTTGATGTGCAGGATGTCGATGGCAATTATGTGGGTTTTATGGGCTTTAAATCACGTCATTCAGGAGGCGATTCAACACCTCAGAGACAATGGTACTTTCGATCGAAGGGTAGCTAGTGTGCTTGTATTGTTCTTTGAGTAAGTCAGACTTCATTTTCCTTACCTTTCTTATGCCACGCTTGGTAGCAGTGCTTCATCCTGCTTTGTTTTTTCTGTGATTGGGTTTTAGGATATGTGAAGTATTCATTGGAGACTAGTAATATCCTCCCCTTTTTTGGGTAGTTCAGAAGGAAGAAATCCCTAGTTTATCAAGTTCGGATCAGAACTTACTATGTACACATCTATTGACCATTGTGAGCTTTTGTGAGAAAGTTTGGAGTGCATTGTCTATTGATCTTGTGAGAAAGATTGTAGTGATGAGTAAGTTCAAAATTATAGATTCTTATATTTTGAATCTACGTTGTGTTCAGGTTGACCTTCAGTGCAATTGCAGTTGTGACAGTCTTATCGAGGTATCAGCAGAATGGAGCTCACTATTTCTTTTTTTAATGCAAATGAGATTTCCAATGTGATGAGATTTTGAATGCTGATATTCACTCTTAATCTCACACCTGGTTTTGCTCTTCTTTCGCAGCATCGGCTTAAATGTCAATTCTTTGCTTCTGCCGTCTTTTCTGGCTCTCGCGTTAGCTGGAAAGGTATAACTTCGGAGTTCCTCTCATCAACACTAAATACTCGTCCTATATCAGCTATTCCTCACACCAGCAACATCATATACCACGTCGAAAGAGACTTCAAACTCCCCGTTTTTATCGTTCCTTGTTTAAGTGCTGTGATAGGATACTTTGCGACTTCAGTGAGAACTTGTCGATAGATAGGCTTCTCCATCATCGATTTATTCGCACTTCGTCCCTGACTAGTAGGAAATGGGGAGGGAGAATCTTACTGAAATTGAAGTTGCCATTATAGCAGCCTAAGCGGAGTACATTTTCTGAATCGAGTGTATGTGCTGTGTCGTGCAGGATGTTTGGCAAAATTACTTTGCAGGGTTTTTCCTGTTTGCCGCTCAGCCCTTCAGACCAGGACATACTGTGGCCCTTATGTGCGGACAAGAAACGACCGGAGCGTCACCGACAACCAACCCCGGAGTGATGAAGTCAGGTTGGTTCGAAGGGGTCTGTGAAGCTGTTGACCTGCGCTACACAGTTTTGCGCAACGGTCGACACCGCTTGATGGTGCCTAATGCCATCTTCGTCAAGAGGAGTTTTCTTATCATTGACCCTGAGCCACAACCACTACCTTCCGAATCTTCAAAGAAGCAGCACAGTCCACGAGCAAAGCCAAAGCATCGTTCAAACAAGGTAGATAGTGCAATAAAAGTTTGCAGTCCACCGACATCATCATCAGCTCCAAGCTTGTCAGCAATTGCTCCGGAACCACTCGTTGGAGCTGATGTGGGAAACGGATCTATGAGCAAAAGACCAAGCGCCGACATGAATGGTTCTGCACTGCTGCATGGTTAAGCCAGACTTCAGTTAGGATCCGAGGATGTTTAAGAGTTATGATTCATCTATACACAATGTTCAGTAACATGTCATCCACGCGAGAGAATTTTGGAAGTCGAATGGTTCTCACCAGGTTAACCTGCATGGCTGGGTGTGCGGTTGCCGGGCCATTCTAATTTTTCCACAACTAATTGAAGAATATATTTAAATATAAATGTTAGACAAAAAGCCAAATCATTTCAATTTCATATTCCAGTTCCTCAAGCCAGGAGTGTCACAAGCATCCATAGCTATTACAGGCACAGAGCCACCTTCACTACTTGATCGCCCAGAACGGATGACTTTAAATATATCTGGCTTGTTTGGCCTACGCATAGCAAAATGCGACTGTTCTCTTCTTTCTCGTCATCCAGAGAGCACTTCAGGAGAGTCTGATAGTCATGAGGAAACAGAGGAAGGCTGGATATCAAGGTAGATGAAGGGAGACGGAGGCTCGTGCGGGCTGAGCCCACATAGTTGTTGAATTTTCAGCAGAGGATGAATTGTCAAGAAGCTTGTCCCACTTAAGAAGACAGCACAAGTAAAGCATGAGAACGTAATTCTCACAAGTTAGACATGAATCATCTGATCATGTTTGAATGACATGGTTACGCGCTTTCAGCCATAGTGCTAACCTCTGTTGTTCCCACACAGCAGAAGTGTAGAACACGAGCAGCTACGCAAGCGCATTACCGTAGTAGTTCCCATGGACCTCCCCATGACTACATATTCCTATTGCTAGTTTCCTGCCACTTAAGGCAGTAGAGGCAACTTATGAGCGCAGGTGGACATGCGGGGTCGTGACCCAAGCATCCATTAGAGTAATTACCTTCCACTGCGACGAAAACAAATGTAGTAAACAAATTCCGCTCGTAATTAATGAAGCTCAGAGTTACAGATATTTTAGAGTAATCTCGAACGAGTTGAAGCCATGAGAGTGTTTCATGATCCATAGTGTCTGGTCAATCAAGTGGTTCATAAACACCATGAGCACCGTACGTTCATGAGCTTCGCCGTTTGCAGAGCTCAGATGCCAAGGGAAGGTTGCTGGTTGACCAGGACCGACAAACCACGTTTATCGTATAATCGGAAGGACCTTGGACTTGGTTCACCTGTTACCTTGAAACAAACGACGTGTCTTTTATAGAATACCATGTAAGAACTGTCCAACAGAATCTACCAATACTAGTGGTCACTATTACGAAGGCCATGGGTAGATATTGGAGTCTTTGGTCAAGTGTCAGACATCTCGGAGCAGCCCTGGTGTGTAATGGTGTTGTAGACCTTATAATTTAAAGCAAGGCAATGAAGAGGGATAAAATACAGGTAAAATAACTCAGATTTTTCCCGTTATGTGCATGTTTTAAAGCTTGAAAAAGAGCCCAGTACAGGGACAACGCAACTCTAGAGAGTTTCTTTGCTGGTGTCCGCGACCGTGGTCAGCTCATGGGTTCGGATCTCCAGCTGCACATGTATGATCCGTCATCTCTGATTCAGCGCAAGGCTACTGAATGCCTGTAAGCGCTGGAATCTCTCCGGCATGATAAGAGATGCTCGATAAACGATGTGTGAAGAAAACCACTAGTGGATGAAATGACTTGAAGATCTTCTGTCTTCATCCTGAAATTTGCTCTAAAGCCTAGAAAGATGGTTACTATGATAACTGTGTAAACTAAATACTATCCTGAACTTCTGACCTCAATAAGGTTGAGAGCAAGTTACCAGCTTCAATTTGTGAGGCCAACAAGCTTAATGCACTAGAGCCTGTTATTATTGGAGAACTCTCGAAGTTAATGTGGAAGGTTGCTACATGACGTGAGAGCCATTGTTGTTTAACTTAAAAATTTCTCCATAGATCCCGTCGTTGATGAGATAGAGGTGCGACAAAAAAACAAACGATTCCAATTTAGATAGTGACGCGATATAAGCTGATTCAACTAAGAGAACGACTGTCCAAAAGGCAGCATTCTCTTCTATATTCTGGAAATCTGGTATAATGAACTTGCTCATGATTCGACCGCAGTAAATGCGTATTTGTAACGATTGACACAAACTGTCGTGATATAACAGGGACACCACTGAGGTCTCGTGAATCGTGCATCCTCAATTTACTCGCCAGCACTTGGAATTGTCAAAGCATCTGGTACTCATGAGCTGAACCAGTGTCGCTTACTTATATTAGAAGCATCACCGAAGACTATAGAGGAATAAACTGACAGCGACGAAAATTGATCGAGGTATGTTCAGACTCTCATCTACGCTTGATTCGTGTGGACTGTCTACGTGTTCGTTTCCAGAAAGAACACCGGAACAAGTAGTCAGATCCTGGAAAAGAATCTTCGCAAAATTCGATCATATCGTGTTCACATATTGCTGCACGTATTTGGCCAGTAAGGTTACAAACATTCGAACCATCTAGTTACTCGCGTGACTGGCATAACACTATCGATTAATCTTGCAACAGAAACTCGAACTGAGTTAAACACAAACAAGTTCGGTGACATTAAAACAGTCGGCGAAAATAGATCAATAGCGTGCCATGTGAAGAGACTCCTCAATTCTATTATTCTGCAGACAATTTTCGCAACGCATAATTGAGGGTGTATATTCTTCGTGTACGAATTTCTTCAGATGTATTGATTATATATGTTTCCCAATCTGAGCGTTTCCCCGTTACTCTTGTGTACGTAGTCTTCGTTTCCTCGTTCGTGCTCTCCCTGAATGGATTCGCGGTCCTTCCTACCCTTAATACCAAGTCTCCGATTTCCTCATCCAATTCTTGGTGGAACTAAGAAGCAGTGCACAACAATTCAAACAATATACATTTGGTGATTGAATAACAGGCGTTGCATGACCAGAATTTCAAACAAAACCATGCCATGAAATGGACCCGTGACCTTTGACCGATAGCTTGAAACCAAATTCATGACTGAAGAAACTGACGACATGCTCAAAATGCTTCCGCGTGGCTGTGAAAGACGACACCTGCACTAATTTTCAAGCCATTTTTATCAAAGACGTGATGGACCCGGAGCTTTGCTCCTGCAGAGTCAGTTACAATTCCACCTTGTCACGGGAAAACGATTTAGCTGAATATTTACAGTACAAACCATGTGCACACCATATACGTCTCTGTCGGTATTATGCACACGAGCTTGAAGTCAAGGAGCTTGAATTCGCTCAGTCCACGATAGACAGCAGATCTTGCCAGAGGGTCACATGCGGAACCTTCCAGTTGTAATGTCGAAGCTCCAGTATCATATGATGGTGCCACTCAGATGAATCCTTGATTAACATAAGCTCGTAGCCTACTATGGACGACACGCCTTCCAAAGCCCACGGATGCTGAATAATAGGAGCAGCAAGCGTTCCATCGCTATAATGCAGGTTAAAGTCACCGTCGTCTGCCAGCCACGCATAGCAATTGATCGCTGAATCATTCGTCAATCCTGGCCCGTGAATCCATACTGTTTTCTTATATGATTCTTCCTTCTTCTGGCCCAAGCGGATTGTACAGTCTGTGGAAAGATACACTCCCCAACCATCCCAGCCTCGGAGATACTGTCCAGGCAGCAGCACATTATTTAGCGCAAAGGATCCATTCTGTTCCGGGTTGTATCCATATGCCAGCGACAACACTTTAGACTTCTTTGTCAGAAATTCCCTTCCGACGGCTTTCACAGAGCATAAATCCACAATCAACAGAACCACAATAATAATACACGTGACGCTGCGAATGCGACTTCGTCCCTCCACTAGCCCCATCGTGCTTGAGCTAGCTACTCTCCACCAACACAAACGCTTATTGTCAGAGTATCTGCCTCTCCCTCCCACGGACTCGGGCTTCAATTCGTCCTCTGCAACTGTCTCCCGGGACAATTTAATGAGCTGCTGTGACACCCTCTGCGACAAGAAACTGATCAGAGAGCTCAGAGTGCTGTACCTGTCGATCAGTCCACGGAAGAGCTATTAGCTACCCTGCTCTTGTTTGAGACTCTTCCTTTCCTGCTGCCCCTGCCCAAATTTCAATACAGAGTCTAGCGAATTCCTCTCCTTCCGAAGAAAATTCTGCAGACGTTTTCCTCGTCCCTTGACCTCGTATTCAAAACCCTGTCGGGCTCAAGGAAGTCCAAAGTGCTGAACCTGAACAAAAGGCTTTAGAAGTTGACAAATTCTTCCTTGTGAATTGCAGAAAGTGAGTAGCTCCTAGTCCACGATAGCTGCAATGAGTCTGTTCACACTGCATCTCCGACAGTGCTTGCCGAGTGCTCCCCTCGCCGTTCTACCGTGAGCACAAAAGCTCTGAAGTCGTCGTCGACAACAACAGCTCCGACCAACTCTGCCTATACCGACCAGGATTCCCAATCTGCTTCGAGTCGCTGCGAGAGCGAGAGCAGTAGACATCGATCCTCCCGTGCATGAGAATGCTTATTTCAGAGAGGGACGAGAGGCTGCTGGGGCTTGAGAACTGGCTGCTGCTGATTTGTAAAGCTCCTGGCGCCGCTCATGGGCGAAAGCGGAAGGTGGTGCACTCTCCATTCACTTCGGAATTATAATTAGGACATCCCAAAGAGGCATAAACTTCGCCAGTGCCGCCCTACCACGTCCTCTCATTACCGCCCCCATAAGGCGACAGGGGGCGGTGGCCCTACCCGGCACATTCCTCTTTTGGTGAAGATGGCCAGTGAAGGGAAAGATGGACAGAGCTCATACTTTTTTGGATTTACGACGCTGCTTTTTGGGCAGTACTGCCACATATAGTCCTATATTATAGTGATGCCCTGCACTCTTTACCGTCTACCGCCTTCATTTATCGTCGATGATTTCTGATATTGACTCCCTATCTACTTTGTCTTCTGGTCGGCCACTTCTTCTCGTCTGCTCAGTTCGGATAGCGTAGGAGTTCTGCACATTTAGTTCCGCGGGCACTGTACTGCTACTCTGGATGTTGCTACCTCGCTCGCTGTCTCCTCGGCTGCTATATATTATTCACGCCTTTTGTTGTATTCCATATCGTTTGTGCCACACCTATACTCGAAGGACGTGCGTGCATGAATGGATGGACGGATAGAAAGGTGAAGGGCGAGATGGAAAACCACCACGATCCTGGAGTTTGAATCGCGAGTCGCGAAACCGGACAAGGAGAAATCTGTGGACCAGGACAAAGAGGTGTCGAAAACCTCCCATTATGGAGATCCCTTCTCAGTTACTTCTGGTGAAACGATGAGCAAAACTAGCCGAACGGTGAGAGACCTGGCGGTGAACCCCCGCAAAGGGGAAAAAGCCATCTAGGTTTGGCTCTAACATTAATAATAGATCTGCGCTTTGATGCAAATAAATTTAGCAGCAGGCAATTCATAGTCATAGATTGTCAGCCTCTTTGGCTTCTTTCGCATCACTTTGCTATCCATCTTTCTCCCTCAATGAACTAATGTGTACAAAATCACTCTTCGCTAACTATTACCCTTTGCTTTAGATTCTTTATGTCTTTACGCCATCTCTTATTTTCATCTACCTTTACGTCCTAGTCAGAAGATTAAACAATAGTCATACCATCTTTCTTCTCTACAACTCCTTTCCGATTGTCTTGTATTCAACTTTACGCTCTCTAATCCTATCAATTGCAAATCGTTCTGTACCAGCCTTCTTGATTCTAACTCTCTTGTAATTCGGAGACGTATGTCTAGATCTTTGTAATAGACAAAATAGAAGTGTTTACTCCATTCTCCTAAAATTCCGCTAATTATTTTGCCAACTATAGACATTATAACTACATTTAGTCATGATTAGATAAATTTAATTATAGCTAACTAGTTTAGTCATAACTAGCTAGACTTAGCTATGTCTTGGCTAATCATCATTAATCACTTGGCTAGTTCTACAACTTAGTACACATATGTAACACCCGATCTCACAATACTTCTTCCCTTGTTCTATCACTTGTCAAATATTTATTTTCTATAATTGGTCCGGTTTCCACATTAATTTCACCAAGAATGCAAAATCTCAAATAGTGTTAAGCTTGGCCATCATATTAATTTTCATGACATCTTCAACCACGTCATTCACTTGTAACAGGACTTTTAAAAGACTTGTTGCATAAGTTCTTAACATCTCACGTTCCATCAGTTCTGAAGGTTTATTGCCAATTATTGTGAAACTTCTTCTTATGGAAATTACATTCTATCTATCAAAGGTCTTAGGCACGACTTTGATGATTCATTCAATAATGAGTACTTCATCCTAAAAAATGTTAGGTATTACACATGCATATAAATCTAGCAAGATAAACAACAATAAATAACAAGAAATTTTGAGTATATTAGCTCAAACAAGTAGTCATCTTGTGAATCATACTCACAAGTCTGTCTTTTGTATGAGAAAAACAAGAATTGCTCATGAATGGATGTCCAATTGTCTGCTTGTACCTCGATTCATCCTAATTCAAAATTGCCGCCAACAAGTTAACTAGACAAAACTCAAAGCATGGCCATTTTTTCCGATCTTGTCTCATCAAACTTTTTGTCTTCTGCACTACATCCTTGCTTCCACTACCGCAAGTTTTCACAACACTTCTTCCTACTCCAGCATTCCCACTTAGTGTTTGTACTAGATTCGTCCAATAACCTTTGAAAAATTTTGACGACACACGTGAAACTTCTTATAACAATTCTAAATTATTGTTGAATTGATTTTCTCTCACAGTGACGGACATAAAATATCTTTTTACTTTGCAAGTGTTGCTATATTAAAATTTATCCACACTTCTTTCGCACAAAAGATTCTTCTAAATCAAACAATTAATTTGTAATTAGACTTAAAAAAACTTAATGTTATTCCATCTAAAGTATAGATCTTTGAATACTTTTTTCTCCTCATAATCACTCAACAGCTAATTGAAAGTTTTTTCTATCACTAAGGTTAATTTCAAATTTAAAATAATTTGATTAATAAGAAAAAAAAAGCAAGTAAAAATCATTATGAGATTTCTGAACAATCTCATTCTAATCAATGAAAAATTTACAACTTTAACTTTATTTAAGACTAAAAATTGCACTTATTTAGATTGAGTTTAGTTCAAAATATTATCAAAAAATTGATACATGATCAAAATTGCAATTAACAGTTTAACGTGTAGTAAATAATCATCTTTCATAGGTTAGAAGGTTCGTTTTTAACAAAAAATTTCAAAGTGAAATTTAATACTTTTTTATGAAAAGTGAAATTTGCTTGAAAAAATGATTTCATATGTATAAAAAAATTCAGGCTTAAATTTTCGGATATTATTTTCATACAATAAATTATTTCAAAATTTTCATTCATGTTTTTACTTACATATAAATATATTCAAAAAGAAAAAATCAATTAAATACAAGTCCAACGCAAATAATACATGAATTTTTTAAAATTTTGCAAAAGATGCATATTTAAATTATAAATTGACATAAGATTTGAGGGGGAGTAATTTCGCTACTTCAAAACAACAAAAATTAATGTAAAGAAATTAAATGTTAAAAAAATAATTCATAAAGATTCCAATATCTACTTCACATAAAAATGTTTGAATTTTATTGATGTGGAATTATTGTTAAAATTAACTCACTTCATTTTTGTAACCCAGATGCTCAAGTTTTTTTGGATTTTTTTATTTCGCACTACAAAGGAGAGCTAATCTTACATCCTAACTCTTAGTTTTAACATTAAACTATTATGTTCCTGTAGACGTAACTAGAGACAAATTATTTATCTTTAAAGATGAGTCTAGGTGCAATTTGTATTTTTGATGTTTGCATGAATTTTCTTGCATCAAATATTATCAGAGCTTGTTTTCATATGTGATTTGACGAAGTGTTGAGTTTATCACGGAGATCTCTTGTGTTGTTGGTGTCTATGCGCATCAAATACATTGTTTTTGTTAGTATGTAGCTTTGTGTTGTGCTAAGTACCTTTTTGCAAAATTTTGTGACTTTACAATTCTTCACTTCTCAATTTAATTACAAGGATGGTCATCAAATTGACCATTGATTACGTTATTGTTCACATTGACATTTCTATGGCTAAAAAATTGCTCTTTTGAGAACTAAGTGTTTGAAAAAATTGGTGTAATTCTTTCTTCTGCGTATGATGTAAGGCACTGAAAATTAAAAACTTTGTAACGGAGAATTCAATTTGTAGCTTTAGCTTCATGTTTGTAATATTGAAAGCATGACTGAAGTACTAAGTGATTCATGAGTGTTAAAAAACATATTACAATATCACGTTTCTCATTTGCAAACTTCAAAAGCCGATGTGCTCTATGACCTAAAACTTCCTAATACAAGTACGTGTTTCTTTCTACAATTACGTGTTTGCTCTGATGGTACGGAGTTGTAACACTAGGGTTTAGAGAGAAGTTCATTCGAAGATAGAAATGTAAACTTTGAAGATGAAAGATAACAACAATGGTTCTCCTCTCCCTTATATAGCTCTCACCAACAAGTACAATGAGATAAGATGTTATCTCCACCATCCATCCCACTCCTAGTGGATGGATGACGTGGCGGATAACTCTAACAAGCACATGGATCGCTAACGTGACGCTCCCAATTAAAACACTAACTAGCACACTCAATCCTTACCTAACAAGCACACAGATTGCTGTCAACTAGCACACCTACTCTCAACCTACCAAGCGCGCGGATCGCTGACGTGGCAGCTACGACTAGTGTACTCTAAAGTATCTATATCAACATTTAGAGTAACCTCTACTTTAATTCTTACTAACTAAAGATGGTTACAAACCTCCCTCTTTTTAAGATTCAACGTCCTCATTGCACATACGTTCAAACTCCTAAACTATCAAAGGTGCATTTGCTAAATTTTTAGCTTGTTTCCAAGTTGATTCACATGATGTATAACCTTTCCATTGAATCAAATACTCTACTTTGGGATCCTTATGACCTCAAATACGTTTCTTGAGTATCTTTTCTACCTCAAACTCCTCATGATCTGCTATCAAAGTTGGAAGAGTAAGTGGTGCTGGTTGATTGGTAAAGTGTTTGGGTCGTGGTACATGTTTTCGCAATCGTGACACATGAAATATTGGATGTATTTTCATATGTGATGTAAGTTCCAACTTGTATGACACTTCATCAACACGCTTCAAAATAAAAAATGGACCAATGAACCTAGGATTCAACTTTGGTGTTCTTACAAGAGGCAAATTCGTTGTAGATAACCAAACATGATCTCCGACCTCATAAACCACTTCTCTACGATGAGCATCGGCATGCTGTTTTTGCCAATTTTGAGCTATCATCAACTTCTCCTTGGCCTGATGTAGTACTCGGTGAATATGCTCCACAAATTCGTTGATTGTTGCAACTTTGGGTAAAAACTCCTCTCCTTTCGGAAGTCTCATCAAACTTGAAGGAGTTATATGATGAGCTTCATACATAAGAAAAAAAGTAGACACTTTTGTGGATGCATTAAC